AGTATTACCAGTAGTTTCTACGTATAGGTGTCATGTGTACAGGCTGCTTCTGATCTTTTTGTTGTTGGACATGAAAACTTTCTAGCCCAAGTGCCCAACTGCCCAAGGCCCAACGTGGAACCATCAACCGAGCCTCGATTGCTAGATGTACGTATATGTCAGAAAAAAGAGATTACATGCTATCGATCTACCCTTATCCTCCCGATAATTTCGTTCGTGCGATCAAGTGTTCTGGTTCTGTACCTTCCTACGCCGCCGCCCGCCCGCCGCCGCCCATCGCTCGTTCACCGTCGACTCTTGCAGTCTTACTGCTTTTGCCGCCGTCGCCCAAGGCAGTGGTCCAACACTTCAGTGCATGCGATTCAATCATAAGACAGAAACTACTTGTGTACTTCATCGGCATCATACATACATCAACAGATCAACTTCAACTCGGAATCAAGGTACGTCACTGAATCACTGTTAATCTTGGTGAATTAGCGCAATTTCTATAGAGATAACGGTTTAATTTACTGCTTTGATAAGGTAGCATAATAGTTTTCTAATGCCACTCCTTGTTTAATGTTCCAATGACTGAAGGATGAAGAGGAAGACTACAGCAACAATAGATTTGTTTTTCAAGCCTATTGCTTCTAGCTCTAATGCAACTGAAAATGCAAATCCACCGGAGGAGCAACCTGTTGTAGATGATACTTCCAGCCCTAATCTAGTTGATATGCAAACTGATGATCACAATATTGTGGCACCACTAGAAACTTTAGAAGAAGGTAGAACTAGAAGCACAAAATATGTGAGGGATCCTGGTACACGCCAACAGATTTGGGAACTCCATCCCGATAAGCAGGATGAAGCACGTCGATTCTATGTTTCTAAGGGCGCTTTTCATCCATACATGAAAGAGTATCCATATAATGGAACAACAAAAAACCGCCGCCGATTCCAGTATAGTTATTTCACTGATTGACCTTGGCTAGAGTATTCACTTGTCACACATCGTGCATACTGCCTCTGTTGTTTCCTCTTTACGAAAAAGCCAACTGGAAAGTGTGGTTCAAGTGCATTCATAGTGGATGGATTTATAAACTGGAGAAAGGTGAATGATGGCAAAGATTGTGCTTTTATAACCCACATGGACAAAGATTCCAACTCAGCCCATAGCTATTCAGCCCGTTGTTATGAAAATCTGAAAAATAGATTGAACCACATTGACAAGGCGATGGTACAAGTATGTACAAAAAAGGTTGCAGCTGCAAGGTTAAGACTTAAAGTCACAATTGATTCCATTAGGTAAGACTAAGTTTATTTGTTTCAACAATTAACCTAGTATATTTTGTATTTATGTAAGACTAACATGTCCCTTGTCTGTTATTTCATTAGGTGGTTAACATTCCAAGCTTGTCCATTTAGAGGCCATGATGAATCTCCAGGATCCCTAAACCAGGGTAATTTTCTTAAGTTGGTAAAGCTTTTGGCTGCTTATAACAAGGATGTCAGAGATGTTGTCTTGGAAAATGCTCCACAAAATGCCAAGTACACCTCACACCCCGTTCAGCAAGAAATCCTTGGTTTACTTTCCAGGAAAGTGCAGAAAAGTATTAGAGAAGAAATTGGCAATAGCAAATTTTGTATTAATGGTGGACGAGTCTAGAGATGAATCTAAAAAGGAGCAGATGGCACTGGTCATTCGGTTTGCTAATAAAGAAGGGTACATAGATGAGCGCTTCCTTGACATCATACATGTTAGTGACACTGCTGCATTGACTCTCAAGGAGGCAATTTGTACTGTCTTAGAAGATAATAACCTGAATGTACAAGATATTAGAGGTCAAGGATACGACGGCGCAAGTAACATGCGAGGGGAATGGAATGGATTGAAAGCTCTAATATTAAATGAGTGCCCATATGCTTATTATGTGCACTGCATGGCTCATCAGCTCCAATTGACTCTTGTTGCAGCATCACGAGAGGTACACGAGGTGCATAATTTTTTTCAGCATGCAAATTTTGTGATAAATGTTGTTAGTGCGTCGTCTAAACGGAATCATGAGTTATTAGCTAATCAAGCTGCTGAAATTGCACATGGCGTTGAATTGGGTGAGCTTGATACGGGAAAAGGGGCAAATCAAATAGGCTCTTTACAGAGGCCGGGAGACACGAGGTGGAGTTCTCACTTCAAGTCAATTAATAGCTTGAGGAAGATGTTTGCTGCTACGATTGCAGTTCTACGAAGTGTAGCAAATGATCGTTCAGTCACAAGATATTCTCGTGGAGATGCAGTGGGCGCCCTAAAGATGATTATCTCTTTTGATTTTGTATTCATTATGCACCTGATGGAGAAAATTATGAAGATCACAGATGTTTTATGCCAAATGCTCCAAAGGAAGTCTCTGGATATTTTAAATGCATTAGATTGTGTTGCAAACACAAAGTTTCTACTTGCTGAACTAAGAGAAGATGGCTGGGAACCACTTCTAAAAGAGGTTAAATCTTTTTGTCTGAAGCATGATATTGACACCCCCGATTTTAGTTCCAAGTATGTCTCTTTTCCTATATCTAGATTGGAATATTAATCATCACAAGTATTTTAATCTAATATATGTTGCCATTTGTAGGTACGTTGATATGACTAAATCTCGAAACAAGCATGACAACACCACAACACTTCACCACTATAAAGCAGATGTATTCAATGTTGCCATAGATCAACAGTTGGTCGAGCTAAATGACCGGTTCAGCGTTCAAAGCACTGAGCTATTGAGGCTTTGTGTATCCTTGAATCCACTGCATGACACATTTGATGTGACAAAGATATGCACTCTAGCAGAAAAGTTTTATCCTGCTGATTTTTCTAACCAAGACCTGGCTCGGTTAGAGTCTCAACTTATCCATTTCAGAATGGATGTTCGCTCACATCCAGACCTAAAATGCTTGCATTTACTTGCTGATTTGACTGTTGGTTTGTTCAAAACTGGTAAAGTTCAGGACTATTCCATAGTTGATAGACTATTGCGGTTGGTTATTACTCTTCCAGTTTCAACGGCAACCACTGAGCGAGCCTTTTCTGCTATGAAACTAGTGAAGACGCGTCTTCGAGGCAAAATGGGTGATGACTTTCTTCAACATTACATGACTGTCTACATTGGAAAGGATATAGCTGCAAAAGTCACATCTGATGAGATTATCCACATTTTCGACGATGGTACTCGTAGAGCTGAATTTCAGTTGATAGATATGTAACTTCTTTTTTTTGCTAAACATACGTTGTCATGCACTCATATCAATTCTACTATTGAGACTATATTCTTGTGTGGTGTATAATTTGAAATGATTATTATCTGTCTCACCCCCCTCATGTTCAAATCATGGCTCCGCCCCTGCACATAAGACTGTGAAAGTTCACGTAGTGTCTCAACCCATGACTCTTCGAAATCAACATTCTCGATGTCCGCTTCATCGACGACGACTTCAACAGTGCCGATGTGAACTTTTTATTCGCCAAGCTTCATGCCTTCGTCGTTCATGTTGTCGCCTCTTATCACTAAGCTTGTTGTCCTTGCAATTTATGTTGCCGCTCTCAACGCCAAGCTTGTTGCCCTCGCCATTCATGTTGTTCCCGTGTTCACCTTGATTGTTGCCTGTGGCAGCACTAGGAGTCAGAATAACTGATGTCAGAGTTATATGCATGTGGACATATAAACAAATTACGGTGAACCCTAGTGCAATTAACCAGAATTTTATGATGTTTCTTGCCCAGGTAGCCTTCGGCCTCCTCGATATGGCCAAGGCACACGGCAATCACTTGCCCTAGGAGATGTTACAGCTGGTGCTATTGACACCACGACATCCTTGACGGCGGTGATTCACGCCTTTGAAAGAAGACACGGACCGGAAGACGAGCACCAACGACGCACAACAAGCCGCAAACCCCACAAACATCGGTTGCGACTGTGTCATGCGAAGGTTGGACATGGAGCTTCACATCGTTGTAGATTGTAGGTGACGTCCTTGGAGACATCGCAGACATCATGCATTGATCAAAACCAATGACAAGTTCAGGAACCTTCTTTGTGTTAATGTCATCTAATCCACTGTGCTAGTCGTGGTCTTCGTCCTCTTGACTGAACAACCCCATCGTTGGATCCTCTTCTTCCCCTGAATGATCAGGGCCATTGTCTGGTTATTCATCAGATTACGTTATTTTTCCAGTTAAATAAACATATTCACTTTTTGGAAGAAAGGGTGACCTGCGAATTTGTTTGGTAGTAGCTACAAGTTAACATATGTGCCGTCTTATTGACTTTCCTAGGGCAATAAATAAAGCTAATATGATCAAAATTGCAAAATTACAATCATCGTAGATAGCCGCCGCTGGTCCGATCGAATAACCCCCACCATATTTTGCACCATCTCAATCACTTCCAAACACTCGGCTTCCTCAATCAACTTGTACAACCAACATTACCTGCAAGATCGAGTATCGCCAGCTTTAAATATTTTACAACTAAAAACTAGCCACTCTTACCCCGCAAAAAGAAAAAGGAAAAAAAACTAGCAACTCTTGTAGACATGCACTCCAATAAAAAAAAGGGCGATGCTAGGCGCCGGCGCACCGGCCGAAACGTTCGGCCGGTCCAGCCCTAGCCGTTCGATGCGAGGCGTGCGCGGTTGGATCTGGAGCAAAAAAAAAAACTCGCCCCCAGCTTCTTCTTCCTCGGCAAGATCCCCTCGCTTGGGCTGCGCCGCGCCGCGTCTTCTATCCCCCGCCGCCCGTCCACACCCTCGCCGCCCGTCTCCGCCGCCGCTTCCAACCCTCGCCACCCGTCCCCGTCGCCGCTTCCAACCCTCGCCGCCCCGTCCCCATCGCCGCTTCCAACTATCATCTGCTGGTTGCAGCTTGCAGCGGCGACGCTTATAGCTCTCCCCGGTTATAGCTCCGCCGCCGCCCCTCGCCGTTGATGCTCATGGCTGCAGGAAATTGCGTCGGCGACGGCCGCCAGCCAACCACTGTGATTGCGGCTCGGTGGCGACATGCGCAGGTTGAAGCATTTCGCACATATGATTGAAGCTTTCTCTACAACGGATGCAACTTTTCTGGTTATGCAGTGTATGTTTGTAGCTTTCTTTTTCAATGGTTGTAGCTTTTTTCATCTAGGGTCGAAGCTTTTCTATCAAATGGTTGCAGCTTTTTTCTTGTAAACAGCCTTGGTTAATGCTTTCTCTATCGTTTCGGGTTGAAGCTTTTTTATCAAGGGTTGTAGCATTTTATGTCGACGGTTGTAGCACTCCGCCATGGCAATGACTGCTTGCAGCTTTTGATGTATCTGGTTGAAGCTTTTTTCATCTACGGTCGAAGCTTTTCTATCAAATGGTTGCAGCTTTTTTCTTTGTAGCAGCCTTGGTTAATGCTTTCTCTATCGTTTCGGGTTGAAGCTTTTTCATCAAGGGTTGTAGCATTTTATGTCGACGGTTGTAGCACTCCGCCATGGCAATGACTGCTTGCAGCTTTTGATGTATCTGGTTGAAGCTTTTTTCATCTTGGTTTGAAGCATTTTGGTTAAACGGTTGTAGCATGAGGGCGTGCGGCAGGTTCTGCAATGCCTCCGCCATGTCTGCAACGCGAGCGCCGCCGTCCTCGCAGCTCGCCGTTCACCATGCTCGCCATCCATGATGGCAGCTCTCCTAGGCACGGGTTGCAGCAGGCCACGACGCGGTTCCAGCTTCCGTCGGGGCCGGCGAGCGAGGACGGCGAACGGCGACGGGGACGGCCGGCGCGGGTGGCCACCGGCGATGAGGACGGCCGGCGGGGGCGGCGAACGGCGACGGCCAACTGAGATAGAGACCGGCGAGATGAAATAGAGAGAGAGGAAGCAGCGCAGCCGCGTGGGGCGTTAATGGCGAGCAATTTGTGGACCGATGAAAAGGGGATCGCACAGGTCGCGCGCGACCGGCCGAGTGGTTCGGCCGGTGCGCCGGCCCCAATCGTTTCCCTAAAAAAAATCACCAGTTTAACAAATCATCAAATTTCCTGGATCTAGGTGAAAGAACGCCAGCTGGCTGCGGAAGCTGAAGCTGCCGTCAAACCAGTCGAGGAGGACTCAGCGATCGCCGGGGATGTCGAAGGCGCCGCCGCGGGAAGACCCGTCGCCGACAGGCGTCGCGGTGTCTCCGGAGGTCGAGGCCGCGCTCGCGAGCGGCGGGGCGGTCGTCGCCCTCGAGTCCACCATCATCTGCCACGGTAATAATCTTCGCCCCCTACTTTTCCCCTTCGGAGCAGAGCAGAGGACCCTCCCCGGCGATGCGCCCTAGCTTAGCCTCCACGGGGTTCTTGATTGGCGTTTCCGTTGCAGGCATGCCCTACCCGAAGAACCTCCAGACGGCCATGGAGGTGGAGGCCATCGTCAGGGAGAACGGCGCTGTTCCTGCCACCATAGCCATTCTGAACGGCGTGCCACATGTTGGTAAGGTGTACAGGGCACCATCAGGCTGTTCACTTGATCTGAAAATATTATCTTCTACTAGTAGTACCGATATTCTTCATACGATTGTAGGGCTTAACAGTGAACAGCTGAAGAACTTGGCTATAAGCGGAAGTCAGTTTCAGAAGACAGCTAGAAGAGATATCGCGCAAGTTGTGAGTACCTTGCTCAACCCAATTTTATCCTTCTTAAGTCAAACTGTAAACTCTTGTGAAATCATTAAGCATTGCGCTGAAATTGGCATGCCATCATTCATGAAAGAATTAAGAATGTGTATTGTTTTTCAAATCTGGGATTTACCTCGTGCCTAGATATATAGCCCCTCTGATTAACATTTATGTTTGTCATTTTTTGTATTCATTTTTTATTGTTTTACTAATTTTCAGGTTGCGTCAGGCGGCAATGGTGCTACGACAGTCTCTGCCACCATGTTTTTTGCTCATAAGGTTCTTTCAAGAAACATTACATCTTACTCGTCTTATTTATCTTGGTTTTATTTGATAGCCATGTGTAGCTAGCACCAAAATTTTCTTTATAGTAGTATAAAGCAATTAAGTTATTCTGAAATTCAGGTTGGTATACCAATTTTTGTGACTGGGGGAATTGGAGGCGTACACAGATACGGTGAAAAAAGTAAGTAGCTTCCAGTTGTGTAAGGAATCCTTGTTTAGGTTCACAGTGTACTAAAAATGTTCCCATTGATTTGTCCGAATTATGAAAGGGCAGTTGTTGTAGCTCTGATCATTGTCTATTATCATGAGATAAATGAGGTTGGAACAGCTAATTTAGGCATGTTGCTCAGTATTTCTTACAGAGTAAGCAAGCAAATGAACTTATTTCTTCGAGGATAGCATAAAAAACTTTACATTTTAAGTTCATGATATTTTCTTAAGAAAAGTTAATTTATCATAGCATTGATATTGTATTTCGCGTCTGTTTGAGTTTCTCTATCAAAGAATATGTTTTGCTAGACTATATGTGTTAACACTTAGCAGGCAACGTATATAGATATTTCTTTTGAGTTCTTATGATTGTAGTTTTTTCAGTCTTATGTCTTTTGCAGCTTTCTGTTGTTCTGTTTTTAATTTAGGATGCTGGTATTACTCTATGATGTATAGTTATACATTACTGGACTTAAACCTCGAGACTTGGAGTACACACTACATTAACTTGATTAACATAGGAAGACTAGACTATACGTGTTAACATTTAGCAGGAAACATAGATAATATTTCTCTTGAGTTGCAGCTTTCTGATATTCTCTAGTTAATTTAAGATGGTGGTATTACTCTATCTATAATATATAGTTACAGATTAGTGGACTTAAACCTTGAGATGGGGAGCACACACGACATTGTTAACTTGATTAACATATCTTGCTTAAATATCATTCTTTGTAATGGTCATGAAAGACTAAACTTGTCTGCTCAATGCTTGATGGACACAATTACCATTTTGATGCAGCCATGGATATCTCATCTGACTTAACTGAACTTGGAAAGACTCCTGTGGCTGTTATTTCAGCCGGTGTGAAGTCCATTTTGGATATCGCACGGACGCTCGAGTACTTGGTATTATCCTTTGCACATTCTAACTTTTTAATAAATTTTACTGTCGGGGCCTCCCCTAAAATTTTCCGCTAAAAAATATAGCTCTTTCGATATGTGAAGAATAAACTTTCATGTAGATTTTTCTGCTAGGCATTGGATGCTTCACAGGCTGTACCTATATTCTTCTGGCTTGGTATTTAAGTACTGATGGAGCAGCTTCCAGTAAAATTCTATAGCAGTGTTGGTTAGAATGCCTGAACAAAGAAGCGTAGCAATATAAATACACTCTGAATATCAAGCTACATATGCACAGAAGAAGGATTGTCTTGTAACAAAAAGTAGCTGCTACATAATTGTTAGCTTAGTTATTATCACCCCCAAATACTGATGCCTTAACATAGGAACGAACAGCTGCACTTGTCTTGAAAATATTAGAGAAATCTGGATTTGAAACAACAGGAAATTAAGAACTGGAAATGAGGTGGCACAGAAAGTAGACAAGTTCCTATGCAATTTGGTAATTGACAACTTCCATTTAGGAAATATTGGCTGTTGCCATGGAAGGGCCTCTTTTCTGCCCACTAGGAACTCCATAAATAAGAGGACAAGGATCCAGTGTCTTGTTCATTCTATGGTACATAATTTTAGACCAGCCTCTTCAAAGAATTTATAACAACATGCACTTGGTGGTAAAGGAGTTATAGCCTCTTCAAATTCAGATTATAGCACTAGATGTTCCTTGGAGGCTTTATAATCTGGTCTGTTTCTGACAAGGCATCGCGGTAGATGCAACTTCATTTTGGTACCTAATCAATTCTTATTAAATGATCGTATTGACAGGAAACTCAAGGGGTAACCGTTGCTGCTTACAGAACCAACGAATTTCCAGCTTTCTTCACAGAAACCAGTGGATGTAAGGTAGAACAATTTTACTTCTGTCAAACAATAAAGTTGGTCTTTTTCTTTGCCCAATACATTAGCGTCCAGGGATTGTTGTGAGTTCAAAATGCACTACAGTTCTGAAAATTAATGTTTTTCATGTTAGATTATGTAGTGCAAAGCATGGGTTGGGAAACAGTTTTGTTGAGGTAAATTAAAAGTAGATGTCTTGCAGCTTCGGACACAAATTTAAATGAGAAAGTATCTATTCTAAATAAAATTAAGATGGGTTTTTATCATTTATGCCACTAGTTGTGGATGCCTTGACTAAGTGACCCCTTGCTTAATGTAGGTGCCATGTCGCGTTGATTCTCCAGAAGAGTGTGCGAAGATAATATGTAAGTATTAACATTAGACATGTGAAACTTCTGCATTTTTTATTGAATTTAATTTGTGAGACTTTATTTGTGTCGCACTATTTGGTAGTACATAACCAGAAGCACCTGAAGTCAACTTTTCCCGTTAAAGATGTCAACTTTTTTATTAGGGGATTCTATATCCTGATGTGAACTTAGAATCAATTAAAATTCATAACTACCTCCGTACGCTAATGTAAGACGTTTTTGCAGTTCAAATTTGTACTGCAAAAACGTCTCATATTAGTGTACAGAGGTAGTAGTATCCTACTTGAAATCTACACTTAATGTGATCAATAATGATATCTCCAGCCAGAAAACCCCCAAAGAAGATGGCATAAATTTGATACTCTTACCCATCTTCCATGCCAGCTGCCCTCCTCAGTACGGAAGTAGTTATCTCTAAGGGTCACAACCTATTTTCTTTTGGAATGTTTTTCAGGCTTAATTGAGAAGTGCTTACTTGAGTCTATTGTGATGCAGATGCAAACCAGAATATGCATCTAGGATCTGGAATTCTTATTGCAGTGCCAGTTCCCAAGCAACATGCAGCCTCAGGAAAGGTTATAGAGTCTGCAATACAGCAATCCCTCAAGGAAGCAGAGTACAGTCCCAGTTCCCAGTTCCTTGCTCTCTTCTCTCTTTCTGTATGTGTACGTGTGCACGTGCATGTGGGTTAACATGTATCTTTGTGAACAATATAAATGTCAATCTAATTGTTTTGCACTTTGTTTCTCAGTGATAAAAAGATAATAGGAAATGCAATCACCCCCTTCATCCTTGACAGAGTGAAAGTACTAACTGGAGGATCTTCATTGGAAGCCAGTATCCTATAATTTTATTTTCGACTTGTGGTATATTTTAGGGATATTGCATGATTTATCCATATTCATTTTTAGTTTTCGGTAGTTACTTTGCCTATTTCTTAAATGTGCAGTTTGTCTTTTCTACCGTTCTCAAATTCTAACAATTAAATATTGAATTAGTCCTTGTGAAGAATATGGCGAAGGCACAGGTGGGCATACAATTCTTGCCCCTTTCTTTCGTGTTCCTCTTGTGGTTCCTACATTTCCAGAAACTTCTCCTTAGCGTATTCAGACATTGCACTTGTGAAGAACAATGCTCTCACTGGTGCTAAAATTGCTGTAGCCCTTTCAGATCTTCGCAAGAGAGTAACAAACAGTAAGTTGATACTGACTTCACTAAAAAATTACAGGTGGTTCTATTAGTTACCATCTTTAGAAAAACATCCTGATCCTACCATGTGTGATTCAGGGTTTGGAAAAGTGCCAGCAAGCGGCTTCGTTCCTATTTTCTAAGCCTTGGTCTGCTCATCCCAAACATTCCATGTTGACCCTCTTATTCCAATGGATATGTATATTCTCATTTATACATACGAAAATACAGTTTCAAAATGCAACAAGCCAGAAACTAGGCAAAGAACCAGAGTTGTTGAAGCAGATCTTGTGCAGTACTGGTCTAGACAAGCCCAAACCCTGAATGTTTTAACCATAAAGCATGGAAAAATTGCTGCTGCTGTCGAGTTGCGTGATCATCTATCTATTTGTGGTTATCGAGAAACCATGTTAGAGCTAGATCCTTTGTTTATGATGGCAAAATCTGACTGTTTTGGAACTGCTGTAACAGGGCCTGTGAGGTCTGCGCTATAAAACTCCTGCTGAAGGAGCTTGTGAGGTTGATGATGCCAACAGTTGACCGGAACTGGAGTATCACCTCTGAAGCCGCCAAAGACACCCATTCCTTGCACATCATGTATCATCTGGCTTGCACATTCGGTTCTTGCTTTTTTTGTATCTTGTTGGGAGAATGTATCAGCAGTAACATCTGAATAAATAAGTTTTTAGCGGACGTGTCGTTCTGGCACTATGAAATTATTACCGCCTTTGTTGCATAGATGCGTAGCCGGATGGTTGGAAGGGACGGCAAATCGCGAGCTCCTATCTGACGCCCGTTGTGTGAGACAGTCAAAGCCTCGCATTGGCGCACTCTCGACTGGGCTGGCCCATTGTAGCTAACTGGGCACTGTAGGAGCATTTTTTTGTCTGGTTTGTTATTCGGGTTATAAACCCATTTTTTCTAAGTGTGTATATTTTGGAATTTCAAGAACATTTTTTAAGTACAGACAATCTATTAAAATGTGAATATTTTTGAAATTCCTAACTTTTTTTAGAAAATCCCAAACATTTTATGAAACTGTGAATATGTTTTGAAATTCCAAGCATGTTCTAAAAACCACAAACATTTTTGAAAACATGAGTTTTTTATTAAAAAAAGTGTGAACATTTTTTAAGATTTTTGAACATTTTCTTAAAGAAGGGAACATTTTTTGAAACCCAAGCATTTTAAAAAAAAATCTAAACATCTTCCAAATAGGGATTTTCTGAACATTTTCTTAAAGAAAAAACAGAAAACCAGACATGAATCTACTAAAAAGGTCCTAAAATGGGATTTTTCCTAGAGCGCGAATGTAGCTGGTAAATGGGCTGGCCCATCTTGATCCCTCGGTCATTCACATGGGCGAAGCGAAGACTATTTGACTTATGTTGTTGGTTTGGTTACCATGATTTGGGCTTACAAGCCCACTAGAAATCTATTCTAAGGCCTTGTTCCTTTGGTAGCTTACCAAAAAGTAGGCCGCCGCCGCCGTCATCTGAGAAATGTAGGTCCCCTCGCCTCCCGCAGACATCTTGGCGCTGAGAGGTGGGGGGACCTCGGATCTTCAAGACCTCTATGTTCTTCACCATTGTCTAATGGTCATCATAGTTTTGTGAAAATAAATTTCATCTTGTTCTTTTGGTGGTGCTATGAGATTAGAGAGTTTTATGTCCTCGTTGGTCCGATTATTTAGTTCTAATGAGTTTATGTTGATCTGTCAAGCCTTTTTTTATTGGTTTGATTCTTTGTGGAGGTGAAATCTTTCATCGACACCATGATGAAGATATAGTGATTCGACGATCTGCACTTCTAGGGGATCATCCCCAGGCCAAGTACATTCATCGATTAAGACTTCCCATCTTTTTGGATGGGTGATTCAAGGCGCTTTCAAAAAACATTATTGGTAATGTTTGTGCGGGTGAAATAGTGACAACATCGTTACTCCAGTCCAATTGCAGTCTCTTTACCGAAGTCTTTGGAGTATTTCTTCGAGTAGAGATTGATGTCGTGGAAGTGTTTTCAAGAGATTTCATTGTAATTCTTAGTCATAGGAGTTACTTTGTATTTTCTCGGATCTTAGGTCCAAATAGATGTACCTATGATTGTTATGAGTATGAATAACGTTACAAGTGTTTCTTAAAAAAAGTAGGCATTGCGTGTGTTACTCCCTCTGTTCACTATTAAAAGAAGATGTTTTTTACAAGGCGAAGGGTCCAGAAGGATTCAACACTTCATTGATCAAAGTGGTGGGTAATACATCTTACATAAAAGACCCCAAAGAAAATGACAATTACACATTACAACATGGATCTTACAAAAAGGACCCTACAAAGAAACAACAAACATGATTGGGTCGAGCTGCTCATCAATGAAACCAATCATGCCGGCCGGAGGTGAACTACTTGGTTTGGCGAGACCCTTGCAGTAGAACACCACATACTCCATCTTAGAGCAACGTTGCCTCCCATCGAGCATCTTAGCCGGGAGGAAAGAGAACGGCCGCTATTCAGCCTATAGGTACGTCGGATTGTCGGCAGGCGTCGTAGCTCCGTCAAAACCACAACAGTCTAACTTAGGATCCCCATCATCCACCTCTAGTACATAGACTCTTCTCTAGATCAGGGAAGGACACCACCAACGTTGGAAGCTCGGATCCAGCATTGCCAAGCACCAGGAGAGGAGGTCAAAGAAAGATCTAACATCCTTTCTTCCACCGTCATCGCAACAGCAGAAATCAATGGGAAGAACCACCACAGCCTTAAGATCCTAAGCAAGATCGAGCTTATTTGGAGGGATACTACCAGATCCGACGTCCTCCGCTTCCCTTCACCATGGAGGCAAGGTAGAAGATGACGGCGGCACCACTGGATGCTTCTCGCATGCTCCAATGGCTTGCATCCCGACGGCATAGCGCCAATCCACGACATAAAGCCAAGACTAACTAAGATAACTGACCTACTATACAGAAGAAGGACACGAGCACCTATCCTCAGCAATCTCCCGGCAGCATCTTCGTAGGAAGAGGCTTTGAACCGTATCCGACAGCCTCAGGGCGACTCTCGAGAGGAAAACGACAGAAGAGAGGAGGGGAAAGGGTAAGTGGTCCACCAAGAAGATGTTTTGGATATTTTAATACGGACTATAAACTAATTGAAATGAATGGGCAAACACACTAAATGTGTCTATATACATGTGAATCGGAAAAAAGTTTGAACATCTTTTAATAGTGAATTGAGCGAGCTTTTCCTCCATTATCCCTTGCGGCTAGAGCAAACTCTTCCCTCCAGGCTTCATCGACAAGCCCGTGGATTCGCTTCCCCTCTGTCTGCCGCTCCGGCGGCCGGGGGTAGGGAGGTGAATCCCGTGGTTTCTCATCGTGTGGTGAGACTTGGTGTCATGTGCTTCAGATCTATTCAGATTCAAGGGTTCAACGACGACGGCTGCTGTTCCCGGGCGCTGGTCCTTAGGAGCACGTGCACGAAGATTTTCCGGCTGTCACCGACAATGCCAAGCTAGTTCCGGTAGCGGAGCGGCGACAACGGCACGCCAGTGGCTCATTCTGGCGGCGGTAGTTCGTTTGGTGGTCTTCAAATTCTAATGTAATTTTTATTATATTTGGGGTCTTCGGGTGAACTTTGATGACCAGGATTATTTTGAAGAAAAAAATAGTGAACGGAGGGAGGGAGAAGAAAATAAGTTTGGCATGGATCCCGGTGTAGCTATCGCGAGCCAAACCGCTGCCACATGGACGCGGGCTTCATCTCCTCCACTGCTCCATCCAATGTCTAAAAAATGTCTATCTAGTTTAGCTCGGCGAGGCAATGGCAACGCAGCGTCCGCTATCCAGTGGCCTCCACGACGCGCTCGCTCTCACCACAGCTCCTCCTCCACCACGCCTGGCCATGCTCGCTCCGCCCAACTCGCAGATGCTCACCTCCTCGCTCCCGCCTCCCACCCTCCCGGCCCCAGGCTCCAAGCCTGCCACCAAGCCCAAACCCGCCGCGGCCGCCTCCGTCTCCGCCGCGGCCACGGCCCCCCTCGACGCAGGCGGGAGCGGCCGCCTGTCCGCGCTCATCCGCTCCCTCTGCGCCGCCGGCCGCACCGCCGACGCCGCGCGCGCGCTGGACACGGCCGGCGACGCGGCCGGCATCGTCGCCTACAACGCCATGGTCGCCGGGTACTGCCGCGCCGGCCAGGTCGCCGCCGCGCGCCGCCTCGCGGCCGCCGTCCCGGTCCCGCCCAACGCCTACACCTACTTCCCCATCGTGCGCGGCCTCTGCGCGCGGGGACTGATCGCCGACGCCCTCACGGTGCTCGACGAAATGTCCCTCAGGGGCTGCGCGGCCACCCCGCCCATGTCCCACGTCATCCTGGAGGCCGCGTGCAGGGGCGGCGGGTTCAGGAGCGCCGTGAGGGCTCTCGAGGCGCTGCATGCCAGGGGCTGCACGCTGGACTCCGGCAACTGCAACCTGGTCGTCAGCGCCATCTGCGAGCAAGGGTGCGTGGACGAGGGAGTGGAGCTGCTGAGGAAGCTGCCCTCCTTTGGCTGCGAGCCGGACATTGTTAGCTATAACGCGGTGCTCAAGGGCCTGTGTATGGCCAAGAGATGGGAGGACGTGGAGGAGCTCATGCACGAGATGGTTAGGGTGGATTGCCCGCCCAATGTCGCCACTTTCAATACCCTCATTGCTTATTTGTGCAGGAACGGGTTGTATGAGCAGGTGCATGAGGCCCTTTCGCAGATGTCACAGCATGGGTGCACACCGGACTTAAGGATGTACGCGACCATCATCGACGGGATTTGCAAGGACGGGCATCACGAGGTTGCAAACGATATTTTGAGCAGGATGCCTTCTTATGGTCTCAAGCCCAATGTTGTCTGCTACAACACTGTCTTGAAGGGTCTATGCAGTGCTGAGCGGTGGGAGGAAGCTGAGGACTTGCTTGCTGAGATGTTTCAGAAGGATTGCCCCCTTGATGACGTGACATTCAATATACTCGTCGATTTCTTCTGCCAAAATGGGTTGGTCGACAGGGTAATTGAACTTCTTGAGCAGATGTTGGAGTACGGTTGCATGCCGGATGTCATCACATACACTACGGTAATCAATGGCTTTTGCAAAGAAGGGCTTGTTGACGAAGCTGTCATGCTTTTAAAAAGTATGTCAACCTGTGGATGCAAGCCGAATACCATAAGCTATACTATTGTGTTGAAAGGTTTGTGCAGAGCCGAGCGGTGGGTAGATGCCGAGGAGCTCATCTCGCATATGATTCAACAAGGCTGTCTTCCGAATCCTGTTACATTCAACACGCTCATCAATTTTCTGTGCAAAAAGGGATTGGTGGAGCAGGCAATTGAACTTCTTAAGCAGATGTTAGTGAATGGGTGCAGTCCTGACCTTATTAGCTACAGCACAGTGATTGATGGACTTGGTAAAGCTGGTAAGACGGAGGAAGCATTGGAGCTGCTAAATGTTATGATCAGCAAAGGGATCACCCCAAATGCGATAATTTATTCATCAATGGCATCTGCTCTGTCTAGAGAAGGTAGAACCGACAAGGTTATTCAGATGTTTGACAGGATCCAAGATGCCACAGTGAGGTCTGATGCAGTGCTTTACAATGCTGTCATTTCTTCGCTTTGCAAAAGATGGGAAACTGATCGTGCCATTGATTTTTTTGCCTACATGGTGTCAAGTGGGTGCATGCCCAACGAATCAACCTACACTATACTTCTTAGAGGTTTAGCTAGTGAAGGATTGGTAAGGGAGGCACAAGATTTGTTGAGTGAACTGTGCTCAAGAAGAGCTGTAAGAAAGCACTTGGTGAGACATTTTGGTATTGTTTGAACCAACAGCCCTTACCGCCAGATGTTGTTGGAAGGAGGAGATTATTGTGGTGGCGTTGGCAGGATGGATTTGCCTACTTGAAGCTTCAGCAGCTCATGAAGATTGGTAGGTGAAACCATGAAAGCTTGTAGGTTGCCTTTTTTGCCATGTATATGATGTAGTGCCTTCTAATTGTAGTTTCTGATAGGTCAAAGGTGGATAGTTAAGTTATACATACGGAGCTATTTTTTCAATGAATTCTTATTGCGGGTACCAGTAGGCTATAACATTAGCTGCACCTACTTGTTCATAGCCTGTTAGAACTTAGAAATGTTAATCTGATGCAGCAACTGCCTAGTGTTTAGTTGTTTTAATAAACGTTACAGATACATAAGAAGAATTATTTCTTGTCTGTTCCAATTGGATTCTAACCAATCCTTTTTTTTTTGCGCAAAACCAATCCTTTCTTTAACGGAAATGCTGTGAGAAAAACATAACTAAATGTACTAAATAACTACACGTAAAATATCCATGTAAGAAAGATAAAAATAAATAAAATAAGAGGGATCCTAACTGATATAAAATGCATGCCTAACTGTTTGTACATGTACTACCTCTGTTTCTAAATATATGACATTTTGGCAGTTTAACTGAACTACCAAAACGTCTTATATTTAGGAACGGAGGGAGTATATGTACATGCCTTAGCATTGCCATAGCAATTGTATCTGTAATGGGAACTAGTTGTAATTTCTACCGGCTAAACTTCTCAAATTCTAATTGCTAAACTTGGCCTAATCGTCGGTGGATTCAGTTTAATTTCAGCCTCCTTTCGGCGCATTAACATCTACGGGGCAACATAAACCCTTCATGGGAGCTCAGTTGTAATCTCTACCGGTTCATAAATTTGCCTTGCTGATAGATTTAGGAAAACATTGTGGAAGGGACACTGTAAAGTTATTACGTTGAGTTGGTTGTAACCGTGTCTTTAAACATTTGTTTTTTTTTTCGATGACAGGGATACACCAAACCACAGAATTATAACTAGTGCTTTCTTCTGCTAACTAGTAAGCGTGCACGTGCAACGCACGTCTCTGCAGTGGCATGTGGGGGCGATGGCCCTACCTGTTGAGGGTGCAAGGCATGTTGAACCAGTGGACGTCGGGGCGGCGGCCCCGAGAGCTTTGCAACTTCGACGGCATGGACCTCATGCCGTGTGGGTTGCAACTACTACATGCATGTGGAATGCTTATCTCTTCATCGCCGCGGGAGAGTGCCTCATGATTTCTTTCGGACATGGAAGAGTGACTTGTTCGGTGGAGCAAGATCAAGCTAGTGTGTGTTTACGTGGTTGGCGTTTCTTGTGGCATTACGGTGTTCTAGAGTGGGTTTGGCCCTTTTGTTTTGGTTTTCCGTGATTAACTGGACAATCTTCTGCTTAATCAATGAAACGTCGAAGTTTTTGCTTCGTGTCTGAATTTATTTGCACTCATGCTCATTTACTCAACAAAAATCCAGATATATCTAATGTGTTTCTTTACCAGTAAAGAAGGCATGCTAAGCAAAAAGGACAATACCCATGCCTGCTTTGAAAATCCACCCAAGATAAAATCGAATTTAGAAGCAACACCATAAAAAAACCTAGAAGTACAATTTCCTATAATTACAAATTCATGACGTCCTTCTTCCAATTTCTTCTTCCAATTTCCGATGAATCATGTTCATAACTTTAATTCAAATTCATTGCCAAGCCTTTGGAATAATATAAAGGAATCAACTGAGTGCACGTCTCAAACATTGATCAACTGAGTTGACATGATATAAAATTAAATTAATTACTGAAAAATATACAAATCAAATGAGTACAAAAATCATAATTGACATTATATATATGTCAAATTTTACGTCTATATAAAAGATAACCACTAACATTAGAAAAACAATTAAAAACCACTTCACTTGAATTGTATTTCGATAAAGTAATTATTAACATGCATAGAAAAATATATTTCTCTTACTTATATGCACCTCCGACCCGTCATGTTTGTGTCCATGCTTACTGAGGTCGTCATTTTCATAGCAATGAACATAATTCCTTTTTTAAGTCTATTTTGTGAAAATGAGACATATATTTCAAACAAAAATTATATATAATCATGTGAAATATGTATAATTTTTTTGGCAGACTGCTGGATGCAAGGACGCACCCGTTTTGTGCGAAGAGGATTCACTCGTCTTCTAGATCAGCTCCTGTATTTCTTGAGAGGAGTGAGCCGCTTCCAGACCTAGCTAGGCTCGTACGGGCATTCGCTTGTTGGGCCTGTTTGACACTTCTCTCGCCGGCACGCACAGTAGCCACACTTATAGAAATAATAAAGATGTGTTTCTCAAGAAAAAAAATAAAGAAGCATTAGTTATCAGAAAAAATCCAGTCCTCTCACCGCACAGCATCCACTCTGCCCACCTCACAGCCTCGCACATGTCGCTTCTCCCTGCTGCCTCCTCTCCTCACCACGGCTCGCCCTCGGCATCCTCTCCCCACCACGGCTCGCCCCGCAGCCTCCACCTCCGATACGACCTCGCGCTGCCACCAACGCTTCCGGTCTCCCCTGTATCGACACTGCCGCCGGTGTCCAACCTCAGCGACGACGCCAGCCTGCCCGACGCAGCTCCTGGCCGCGGCGGCCTAGAACGCCGAGGTATAGAAGCCTGCTCCGGCTGCCAAGCTGCCGCCCAACCTGCTCTGGTAAGTCTTGGGCTTAGGTCTCACTTCCATATAGCAGAACGATTTATCTGAAGTACTAAGTTTATATGAAGAAAAGAAAGCTAGGTTTTGTTTGTTCAGTCCTCATGTGCTTTGTAGCCAAGCTTTTCATTCTAGAAGCCTGCTAATCTGCTATACTGTTATGATGGAATTCTGTATCTGATTTGGATGAAACAAAACTCAAGAGTACTTATTACAAGCTAAATACTGAGTGAATTGCATTTTAACTGAAGCATTTTGCATACATTACTCAATGTTTGTCAATTGGGATGTACTCAATGTTTGTCCCTTCTCCACTGGACACCAACAGGGGGTTCCATATGATACAAGACTCAAAGGTCTAGATGATGACAGAGGAACCAAAGGTCTAACACAGGATGCTTCAAAGTCTCATTTTAAAAGGTCAACAGGTTGATGTTCTTTTTCATATCTCATCTTGTCGGTCTGATATTTGAAATATCACAGAATTATTGTTCAGATGCACCTGTTATCTAAATTAGTTCCTGCTGGCACATTCAGGCAGTACAAGTTTCACAATAAATCTAATTCCACACATACAGCCAATCTGTAGATTAATTTGGCACTGACGTTCGATTAAGTTGATTCCAGTGTAACAATGAAAAACTTCTGGAGAACTCATACCTTACGGCTATTATAAATTTAGGTCATTACTTCAGAATGATATAATGAGAGAGAGGTCTAAATTTAGGTTATTACTACTTCATCAGGACCATATACCATTTAACAGTATTACTACTTTTTAGAAGATAATTTGTCGTGCTTCTAGTGAACTGGCAACCCCAGTTAAAATTTGAGGTCTGTTAATTTAAGACATACAAATAATTGAACATGTTAAACAAAATAATCATAAGCAAAGGTTCGGCGGCTCATTGTATCAACCAATCCCGAATTACTGGCTAAAGGTTCTAGAATTTACATTTTACAGAAGTAGTAAAAAAACATAATTTTTGTTTTAAATTGAGTTGTGTCTGTAACACAATGATATTCAGAGGACCCAAACTTGGGTGCTTCCAACGCTATTACACACAAAGTTAAATGCATTGGCTTTAGAGATACCTCGATAGATGCCATTGGGTGGAGAAATTATTTTCAACAGGGCATGAAGAGGATTGTTTGATGGTCAACATTTGTAGGAGTAAGCTTGCTCAAGGATTAGTTTTTGCCTTTTCTGAACATGGACTTTGTGGATGCAGAAGCTGCATGAATAGCATTTAACGTTAATCACAGAACGGCGGACGAAATTCTATAATGTGCTGAAATCTAACAAAATCAATATTAAGAGCACTATGATTTAGACAACAATGTTACAGACACATGGATTACCCCTTTCAAGTAATCACAACCACGAAAGCGCACAGTCAAGGCCAGAAAAGGCGGGGTTCTACTTATTTTAAATCATAGGTTACTTCTGGCAAGGCTGGGTTTTGCTTACTTTATTAAATCATAGGTATGAAAATGCACACGGCTGGGTTCTGCTTATTTTAGTGGTAATCGCTGTAAAGTGGCTTTCTAGTTGGATGTCTACAAAATCAAATATCATTCTAGAATTATTTTCTTTTGTTTCAGATGTCAACTATCAAGAATATAACCTCTGAACTATCCACTAAGTTGTTCAAAACTTGACTTAGAAACAGAGTAAAGTTCACATGGACAGTGATATTTTAGTCTGGCCACTACAAACCAAGGAAGCCTACTATAGAAAAGCAATATTAAGCATTTAGAGTAGTATATTCTGCTGGTTGATGCTTTTTGCTATATATTCCACATTGTTGTAGTAAAACCAATTTTTTAGATATATTACTTGCTGTCGTTTCAGAGGTAGTTGCAGTCCAGCTTAAGCTTTGTAGAGTCATAGCCTCACAGGTAACTCGGGATGGTTGTATTGCAAGCGCAGGATTAAAAAGGAAACCCCCAGATAATATATTTAGTGCCAAAAAACATGACCCTTAGTTGCCAGAGTCAGCTTAAACTCATTCCATTGCTTTGAAAAACATGCATGCATGGTACCCTACCCAATACCAATTGGCAGGCCAACATATAAGAAGAAATTTGTCTTAATTGTATTGCAGATATTTAGAGAGGCATGTACTGAATTTCATTTGCACAAAATGAATTGTTGTAGATTGACAATTGTCATAGAGATTTTGTATAGTCCTTCATTCAAATGGCCTAAAACTAACATAAAAATGTGGTAATTCATTGGCACAAATGGATTGCATACAGTACTCTCAAGACT